ATCCTTCATTATTATTAAACTTTTGTTATGTCTATAAAAAGAAGGTAAATTGATACTGAAGTAATTATTCAAGTATTATTAAACACTTATCTGATTTTAGTCGAAAAAAGATAGATTCGGATATATTTATTTGTCGTACATATTGTTACTATCGGTGAAAAGTACTTAATGTTTGTGTTTTATTTTATTTCAAAAAAGTGCATAAATGGATAATTGTCAGGATATTTAGTGTCTCTTAGATTAGAATACATGTATAAAATTGTTTGAAGGACATTTTGACAAAAAAAATTTATTTAAATACAATACTTTGGCAAAAAATTAACTTAGAATAATTTTTTTCCCAAATGTTCTTCTTTTGTGAAAAATGCTTCTATTATAATAATATTTTGCCTGTATATAGTTCAGACCTCTCTACAGAGGCTCAACTAGAATCTTTGAAAAATTCCCATTATTTTCAGAGTTACCTCCAATTTAAATAATTATTGCCGTTTTTTTTCTTAAAATTGCTCCCCTCAGTTGTTGCAAAACATGGATAAACCCACTTCTAAGATATATACTTCAAACATTCTAGTTGAGCCTCTGTACAGAGGTCTAAGCTATGTACTGGCAAAATATTATTATAATAGAAGCATTTTTCACAAAAGGAGAACACTTGGAAAATAAATTATTCTAAGTTAATTTTTTGCCAAAATATTGTATTTAAATATTTTTTTTGTCAAAATAGTCTTAAAACAATTGTATATATGTATTCTAATCTAAGTGACACTAAATATCATGAAAATTATCCATTTATAAGCTTTTTTAAAATCACGGTTCCGAACGTAGTCGGATACCTTAATATTTTTCACCATAAAGTTATTTGAAAATAAGATTTTTGCTAAAATAGGTTCTAAGAAAAATCAAGTCTCAATTTTTACATCATTAAACTTCTAAAATATTGTGGAATATAAAATGAACACACACACACAAGCGTGTACACGCATAGTAAATTGATTTAACATTTAAACGTCTCTTGTTTTTCTGAGATATATGTCAGAGACATTTAATTTTTAATAAATGAACTGTTAGAAATAATTAAAATAATGACTGATATTTAACAAATAAATAATTAAAAAATTAAAGTACTTAACAAAAGTTTAGTGTTTCTATTTCAAACATGAAGTTTGAAAAAGCAAATGACCAAGAAAGACCACATTTAATATAACTGTGTTATGAAACTAGTTCATTTCGGCCATGGCAGCCAAGCGCCTATGGTGCCAATCGTTTTTCTATTAAGTTGGGGGTTTAAATTCCGATGCCACTGAAGACACACCGCTTGGAGAGGATGATATGCATTAAATTTGTTGAAGATCGAAGTCTTCACGTTGGCGTACATTAGAAGTGTAAAGAGTGTAGGACAACAACAGGCGTCATTCTCATCAGTAGACTGTGGTTATAAGATCTGGTGTTGCTTCGTAGCGTAATAAAAATAAACCGTCAGTCTGGAAATTTTGGACAGATTTGGACTACTATATCCTCCTTCTATATTAAAAAACAGACATTTAAGGTATATAAGTATGACAGTGTGTAATGTTTATCAGGGCAAGTTAATCTAAAGGAAAGGGTACAAGTTTGAACAAAAATTGATTTAAAAGAGAGTACAGTTGAACCTGTGTTTATGCTTTAGATAGAGACCACATAAAAATAAAACGCACAAAAAATATTCAAAATTTCATAAATTCTTACAAATAACAAACTAATTCGTGGAAATACTATAGAAGATTTTTTTAAGCGGTGGATAGGGACCGCATAAAAAAGTCTCATTTATAAAATATGCCAATTATTTGCAAAATTTATGTAAGAGTACTTCCATAACAAAATAAATAATTAAATATTGCACATGGAAACATTTTGAAAACATATAATTTTTCATTGTATACACGGATAACTTTTCAAAATGCACATACAGAATTCATTGTTACTCATCGCAATCCAAAGCCCTGTGATGAATAAGTTCAAAATCGCTTTCGTCACATTAATGTATAATTTCAATTGATTTATTTCTGGCAACATAAAGTAAGAGAATAGTTATTATGACGAAGGTCGGGTGGTCACTTGCCTGTAAATACCACGATAACCACATATACATTATTGAAGTTCTTTTTGGAATTTTATACTCCTTTCTTAATTGGTACCTATTTTCAGAAAATGCTTTTCCAATTTGTTGGAATATCGGATCCCTGCATATTTTTATCCACTCTCAAAGAATCCGGTTCTTCTTGTCCGTCTTCATAATCTATCTATTTATTGATAATGTCAGTGTCATTGAAAGTTTCCTCTTCATTTGCGGTCTGCTGGAGCGTTGAGAGAAAGCAACTGAATGTGCATTGTCTGGAGATTGCTTATAATAAATGAGTAGAGCGTCGTGAAGTGTCTACATTTCAGTGGCGTAACGTACACTCCCGCATCACGGGGGTGGAGGACTCTAGGGGTCCAAGGCCTGACTAACGTTAAATACGTATTTACCCAATTTATAAAATATTAAAGGCAAAACCTGACTTTCAGGGGGGAGGTGAGTTCTAACATTCTCCGTTTCACTACTGCTAAATAGATAGGAAACATTACAGTGGTGCCAAAGCCATTGAGTTCTGCCACAAGCAGGGGCAGGACTCTAGGGGCCCAAGGCCTGACTAACGTTAAATACGTGTTTACCCAATTTATTAAATATTAAAAGCATAAACTGACTTTCAGGAGGGAGATGGGGGGTTCTAAAATTCTCCGTTACGTCACTGGTAAATAGATAGAAAACATTACAGTGGCACCAAACCCATTGAAATTCATACTCCGTATAGAAAAAGGATAGCACATAAAAAATGGCACAAAAATAAAACCACTTTAAAAAACGCACAAAAACAGGTTCTACTGTATAACCCCTACTTACATTTATACTGCATTCTCAACAAGAGTTCATCATGAAAATGAAAGAGTTTATCTATTCAATTGCCGAAGCAATTCCAGTGCTCGCTTTGGGGACGAGGGAATCAGTTGTAATTGCCCACCCAAAATATTTCATGTTTGGAGATCTGGTAGATCAATCCACCACTCTTTCCATAGTAACAACCTCTCTTTCCAGAAATGAGTAGCCTAGTTGGATGCAATACAGACGATCATTCTTATGCGCAAAAATTACTTCCGGACTAATTGCATTCCTGAATAGACAATCAAAGGCCTTCATTTACTTCATAATAGTTACATAACCTCTGTCAAAGTCATGGTGGTCCGTGCTTTAATATTAGTCCCCAGACCACGAAACTTTCACTGTCATTTTGGTATCAAATGTTGCAGTACATGTAAGTCTTTGATTTCTTTCAGATGAATATATTTCGAGAATCAGTGGTTAGGCTGAATCTGAACTCATCAGTGAATGGAATGTCTGCTGCTAACCCCTGTTTAAATGCCTTTGTTGCCATCTACATTGAGCTAAATGAATCTTCCAAGATAATAAAATGCAAACAACAAATCTTCTTTTAAAAAAAAAAAAAATCTTATACAGCCTTTTGGGAAGAGGAACTCTTGAAATTTTTATTCAGGTATTCGTTTGGTGCCCTTGAGATATTTGAGAAAAACTGTCGCAATCTTATGTTTAGCTCTAATGGAGATACATTGATATTCATTTTTCGTCATGACTTTTTTTCTCTACAGATTTGTTTTCAAAAAGTTACTCTCAACACACTGAGCATAACATTGAAGAACCTAATAATCTGTACGTGAGACTGGACACAACCTCAAATATCCAGATAATTCATAATCCTCATTTCTTTATTCAGTGTTGATGTTTGTTTCTTTTATGATATATTGGAAAATATAAAATATTTTGTGAAATATTAAAAATATAATTCTTGGAAGGCAAAATTTTCTTTTCGAGGCAGGGACAGTCATTTTTAATGCTTTATCACTAAAACCTAGTCTATATTTCGTAAATAAGAGGCTTATTGAATCGAGTATATTTGAATAACATAAAACAAATCGTTATTAACTCTTCAAGTTAAAAATAACTTTATAGAACTTAACATATCTTAATTATTTTCATTTTAATATGAATTTTCTATTTTTGTGAGGAAAAAAGAAGTGTTAAAAATTAACATTTTTTATTCCTAAATTATCGTTTAGCAATGCAGTCTCTAATTACATGTTATTATAAGATATTATTACTCCTAATATAATTTAAGAACTATGATAAATTTAAAAGATTTAATATGTGCAGCACTGTTGAAATATTTTCAAATAATTTCACCATGATGCATGTATTTAACAAATTGGAAGGTGGTTTAATTAACGGGGGGAGGAATATCTTTTTACGACTACATTTTAGAATGTATAGAAATACTTTTCAACATTAAAATGGTTGCATTGTTGTAAAATAATATTTGTTTAAAGATACAAGTTTGTTTATTTTGTTAGAAATTCGAAACCTTTGTTATTTAATAACATTAGTCAAGATATTTCTCCCAATATATAAACAAATTTTTAATTGTACCTCTTTTTTTGTATTAAAAAGGATTAGAAAACATTGGACGAAATTCATAAAACAAATTAAAATTTCAGGGATGAAATGATAAATAATAATAATAATTCGAAATTTTCTGAGAATAGAATGTTTTAATTTAAATAAGTTGCAGTGAATTTTAATAAAGAGTTGGGTTTCAAATTTTGGAGGAATTAACTATATTGTTAATCAAAGGACACATATTAAGAGCTTTTAACTCATTGAAACAAAGGAAATAATCTGATTATTTTTTAATCTTGAGAGAAATGCCTTTTTATTTACGTGAGGTTTAAAAAATATTCACGTTCAATAAAATTAACAGTAAGCTAAGATATAAATGAATTCATGTACATTAAACGGAGTTTTTTTTTTAATAAAAAGAAATAATAAATCTTAAAATATTGTTGGGAAAAATGGAATTAACACATTAAATAGTAGCAAAAAAAAATCAACACCATATAAAATCGCTCGCTGTGTCCCTGTAAGGCAATGGGTAGCACATTGGATTTCTAATCCAAAAGTCGTGAGTGTTTGAATCCCACCTGGGATGGTCTACTTTCTGAAAATGTGATTTCTTTTTATTATGCTATTTTAGTGGAATAATTGCACATTTAATTAATAAATAAATAATAACAAAAACAAAAATAATAGTCCAACACCCTATATAGAAGGGAGAATTTCAAGAAAAATCACTTTTTATTTTGCTCTTAGTATTGTGATGCTATTCTATGTACATACATATTTACATTAATTGTAATTATTTAACAAAAAGTATCTGAAATAAAAAAATTTCTTTGTTGACCTAAGTAAGAATTGACTTAATTTTTTTATATTAGTTGATTAATGAAATAATCAATATTTGTGAAAAATAATTTTCATTCAAGTACTATGTAGATGATATTTGTAATAAAGAATGCCATTGAATTACATTTTTCTAAAATTACCTAATGTTTTAATAGCATTACAGAATATATTGTCTGCCTTTGATTATTGTACGTACGTACGTAGGGGTTTCAGAAAGTAATGTGATAAGTGCTCTGACGGGGGTACAAATTGGCCGCATGAATAAAAATCCCTCTGAAAATAGCGAAGACAATCACAGCATTTAAACAGTGCCGGTAGATGGAGATGGTACTTTAGTAATATGACTAAATCCTAGTTAAAATACGACTACGTTGAAAGAATAATTGTAATAAGAAGTGTGGTATGGTTTTTGCTCTTAACCCGGGAGCGGTCACTCGGGGTCACCTCAGACTCACAAAATGTTTAATTCTGGGAAAACTGTTTATTTGTTACCAATGACCTTATCAGTATCCTCCTATATGACCTTCTTCAATATAAACTAAAATGTATTTTTCACATATATCTCTCTTTTAGGGAATGCCAAACGCTTTCTTACTATCTCAAAGTACTTAAAATGATTGAGTTTCCCGTGCGACCGTTTTTGTTTCAAAATATTTGCTATGAAAAAGTTACATTTTTCCCCTGTAAGCGCCTTAGTGGTTTTGATTGCTGGGTTTTAAGGGACTCATTGTGGCTTATAAATGTAAATGAATGGAATATAAAGAAAGAAATGTACATCTGTGCGATCTCTGTTGGATGAAGAAACTGATCAAGCAAGAGTAGAACCTGATGAAATAATGAATATTAATTATGATAGTGAAAGTAAGTTTGGAAAAAGTGATGAACATGAAACGTCTGAGTTGAAAGGAAAGTTTTTAAATGCCTAAAAAAGTCTATTAAGAAAGATATAAAGCCACAAGTGTATACAAGTCACACTGCGCTCTTCTAAGAAGACACAAGCCAGAAAAAGTTCTACATGCTATTTGTAGATTATCAAAGGACAATAACACTACAATAACTTGAACAAAATATGACAGTTTGGCCAACATTCCCTTAACGTTCGTGAAAGTGCTTCGGGTTTATGTATTTTTTAAAGTCACGCACATTTGAAATATTTTAGTTCAGTTTTATTGGATGTTTTCACAAATTATCATAGAAAATGGAAAGAATCCTTTAAAATAGGTAAACATACTTTCTCTTAATTAAATTAGTCACTAAAACTATGATTTTTATCGTTTACAATAAACATAATTATAAATATTCGTTAAATTGGGGGCCGGATGTAAGTTGAGCTTAAAGTGTAGTTTCGTAATCATAATCATTTAAAAAAAGTTTTAAAATTTTAGGTTTGTATTCATAGCATCAAGCCCTATAAAATTTGAAAAGCATGAAAATTCTCGTGAAAGAGTCATTCATCACCACATTTAAAAATATGTATAAAATGCGTTTGAATATCTTAATTTTAATCTATCTGTATTGCACATGAAATGGATGTTACGGTTCACGTAGATAATTACAAAGGGCTTCATCAAGAATATTGGCAAATTTTAAGCCCTTTGCAATCGAGGACGTAACATCAGAAATCCTTCTGCTCTGACGTAAGGAAGAGCTACTGAAGCCTCCTCATGGATTAATTTAAATTCTATGATGTGGCATATCTCTGAGGTTCACACAATAGAGGATTACGGAAGATTACACATAGTTATATAGCTTCCAAAGGAGAAGTTTGCATCTTGTCTAAACACATCTATTAATCTGAGTTTCAAGTGAATTGCCGGAGGAACAAACAATGAGAGGAAAGAAAAGTTAAATAAAGGTCTATATATATCGTTAAAATAGGTAGTATTAATTAATTCCTTTTAGTGTAAGACTTGTAATGCAAAAATACTGTTAAGAGATAGTATTGAAAAATATTTTTTCGTGCATTCTTTTTAGTTTAAAATGTGGATAGTTTCCTTAACAATCTCAAGTTTGGAAAGATACCCCTTACAGTAAATTTTTATGCTTTTTTATAATAAGCATTTCATCAAATGTAAACTAGGTGTAAATATACATGACATTTGCCACGAACTCTTGCCTGCGGAAGTGTGAGTGTTTGCCAAAGGATGAGATATTTCCTTAAAAGAAACACTTTTCTTATGACTACCAAATCACTATCTAAATTCGATCTAAGCTATAGGAGTTGTCAGGTTAAATAGTAATTAAAATATTTGTAATAATAAATTTAGTGCTTATAGTAAGTAGTAGTGAATCCGTAATAATAAGCATTTTAGAATGACCCTTTGGATCATTTCCACTTGAATCCTGGCAAATTCGACAATTAATTTCTCTAATTTTGTAGTCTCCGTATGACAACAATTGTATTTCTTCTAATTTATCTCTTCACTTGACTTTAAATAGTACCTCTCATTAACATAAAACACGATTCCTTTACACACACAGAAAGGGGTTTTATTAATATAACGTTCTCAAAAGAATTTACTCAAGATGTTTAGTAAGAATCTCGAATAGAATCTGTTACCCATTGTTCTTAAATAAATTTGTAAATTAAGTAAATACTCTATATAATTGCTTTTCAATATTTGTTATAAATATCGTATTGCACCACATTGAGCTCAGTGTATCTTTATAGGAAATAAAATATTTTTCATGATAAATTTTTAAAATAATCAGTAAGAGTGCACTTTGCATTTTTTTTTAAAGAAGCAATAATGTAAAATGTCTGTTTTAAAAAATTTCTTACGCGCATTCCTCAAAGTTAAGGTTAAATGTTTACTTTTTTAAAATTAGGAGCAAATCAAGTTCTATTTAATTATAATATATAGATATTTATTAAATAATTTAGAACGATTTTTTTTGAGAATAACACTTTAATTTACTTGTAAAAATATCGCAATCAAATGACATAACTACATCAGATTTAATAAGAAACCAAATGTTCTTTTTCGGTCTAATTTGCATTCATTCAATTCCTACTATTAACTCACACTCTATATATATTTATTTATTTATCTTGGTGGAATTTTCAATCGTTCATTAAATACATTTTAAAGCGCTCCATTAAACAGATATTTTATATACATGATTGCTTTGGATGACTATACAATAATTTAATTATAATTAATAAAAACTAATTGATTAAAACTAATTATTTAAAGAATTACAAATACACACTCATAGCCACTTTGGTGACTTAGCGACCATTTCGGAGACTTGTGTCAAAACGTGAAAAGGTTTATTTTCTCACGTTTGAAAGCATTCAGTTGAACCGAAATTTTATATACACGATTGTTTTGGATGACAATACGATGCTTTAATGATAATTAAGAAAAATAATTACCAATTAATGTTGTGATTATGTCCTATGTATATACATATTTATATTAATTATGACTATTTAATAAAAAGTAGCTAAAATAAAATTTATCTTTGATCTAAATAGGAACTGATTAATTTTTTTATATATTACTTGTTTTTTATTAAAGTTGCATTTGGGAGTTTTGCTAGGGCTATTCGTGACATACCTCGTAATTTTAAATCTCGGTCAACTTAGTGTCAAATATTTATTTACGTATCTAATAACACATAGTATACAGTGTTTTACAGCAGTTTTAATTTTTATATTTATGATGAATTATTTTTAATTCAATAATCTTATTTAACTCTAAAATTGTAGGGGGAGAAACTAAAATAAAGATTTGCTTGAGATGAGCAAAATATATTAAATACATTCCATTTACAACAAAGTTGAAACTTAAGGTATCCGAATACCTTAAACTGTAGATTTTTTAAAAAAATGACAAATTTTTTTTATGATTTTATTTTATAGGTTATTTTATTAGCTCTTTATATAAAAATACACTAGAATAATATTTTCTATTCACTTGAATAAAAACTACAAGTGTTTCAGTAAAAGCAGATGCTGTTACTATACATGAGATGTCAAACATTAAAATGTGTTTTGCCCGAAATGTGTGTGAGTGTTTATTTAAATGCTCAAACGGGGACAGTGATTTCTCAAAAAGTTTATAAAATAATTTGCAGAAATTTTTTGTGTATTTTCTGTATAACAGTAGAAATGTTTTAGTCTCATCAGATTCATTAATCACTGTTTTATTTAAAAATTACAGTTCTTTATGTGAATAAAATCACTGATTTTTTTTTGAAGTAATGTCATATAACTACCATAAAGTGCTCTAGTTTTTGAATAATTTAAAATATCTCTTATCCTGAAGGTCATTTCAAAAGAAATAGCAAAGTAATGCATCAAATTTGAAAAATTGAGAATTTGTTCATTAGCTATTGTACAGAGCGGGCCTGTTTATGTAGTTTTTTGTCAAATTTGATCCATTTTTTCCCATTTTAATAGTAATAATTTACTTTTCTCTTCTTAATTTTACCTTTTTTCTTAAAATGTACTAAATAAATCTAAAATCCGTAAAAAACTTCCATAACTCCATTTTTTAAAAAAAATTGTCGTAAGTAGTCGGATACCTTAAATCCAGACAGGGTGTTTATCACGAGGAAATGAACGCAGAATTTGTAATACATATTACATCCTGACTTAGCTCAATTAACATCTCTTGCGATTTCTCGTTATAATCTAATTTCCTACTTAATGAGGAAATTCGTGAAAAATCAAAAATTCCATTTTAAAAATTTTCTACCTATTTTTGCATTTTAGACAGGGATTGTAGTTTGCCTAGG